CATGGTGGTACACACCTGTAGTCCCAGCTACTTGGGAGGCCAAGGCAAGAGGACTGCCTGCACCTAGAGGTTCAAGAATTTAAGGCTGCACTGAGCTTTGAGTTATTACACCACTATACTCCAGCACTCCAGGCTGGGCAACAGAGTGAGACTCTGACTGTAAAAGGAAAAAAAAAGGATATAATGCATTGTATGTCGTAGGTGGCAAATCATTTTCCCATTTATTGTTTGATGTCTCCTTTTAATCTTGCCTATGGAGATTCAGACCACTGCTTTTCAGGAAGCTCAATTCTGCCCTGTGTTTTGTAGTTTCTTCCATTGCTTTTTGTTTGTTTGTTTTTGAGACGGAGTGTCACTCTGTCACCAGTGCAGTGGCATGATCTTAGCTCACCGCAACCTCAGCCTCCCGGGTTCAAGCAATTCTCCTGCCTCAGCCTCCCAAGTAGCTGGGACTACAGGTGCGCACCACCACATCCAGCTAATTTTTTTGTATTTTTAATAGAGACGGGGTTTCACTGTGTTAGCCAGGAGGGTCTCGATCTCTTGACCTCGCGATCCGCCCCCCCTCAGCCTCCCTAAGTGCTGGGTTACAGGTGTGAGCCATCGCGTCTGGCTCTCCATTGCTTTAATATTTGACAAGTCTTCCCCTGTGTTGAGATTTGATCCATATTTTTTCTTCAAGGCCCTTTCTGGCAGAGTTCTGTTTGTTTGTTTTTTGAAACAGAGTCCTGCTCTGTCACCCAGGCTGAAGTGCAGTGGTGCAATCTTGGTTCACTGCAACCTCCACTTCCTGGGTTCAAGCGATTCCCCTGCCTCAGCCTCCCAAGTAGCTGGATTACAGACAAGCCTCTATGCCTGGCTAATTTTTTGTATTTTTTTTTTTTTTAAGTAGAGACGGGGTTTTGCCATGTTGGCCAGGCTGGTCTCAAACTCCTGACCTCAAGTGATCCACCCGCCTCAGCCTCCCAAAGTGCTGGATTACAGCGTGAGCCACCCTGCCCGGCCCAGAGATTCATTCTTATTTTCACCTCACCTATGCCCAAGCTCACCTTCCTTTTCCACCTACACGGTTGCCACCCCCATCTGCCTCTTCCCAAGCCCAGCTTCAGGCTCACCTGCAGGAAAAGTGATATCCTCTTGGTTGGGTCCCGGTGAAACTCCACCGTGTTGAGCTGTGAGGGCAGCACTTGGGGTGCTATGACTCCCAGGGACAGTGGCACATCCGCAGGCAAAGGTGACAAAGCAGGGAGCCAGGCTCAGCCTTCCCAGTCCACAAGGACTTCCAAGCCAGAGCGCAGGCTGGAAGGGCCCTGGGCCTTTCCCCACTCACCAATGTCCAGGATGCGGTTCCCGGGCCGGCTCCACCTCCACTCAACCAGCTGCTGCTGCTCTGTGGACTGCAGGCGCCGGTCCTGAAACGCCACCTGCACCACACTCTGCAGCCACAGGAGGGTATGGCGCGCAGTCAGAGGGCGCCGGGCACTGAGGACGGAGCCTTCACACCACGTAGGCTGACCTTCCTGCACCTCCCTTCCTACCCCAAGGAGGCATTAGGACTTAGAATCACCATTCCGTGTTCAAATGCCCATCTGCCATTCACTACTGTGAACCAGAGAAGGAATCTAGAGAACTTGAGCCTCAGTTTCCTCATCTGTAAAAAGGGGGAGTTAACGCCTTCCCACCCTAAGCATGCCACCCATTTCTAGCAACATGTCACTGCTCATCATTTCATAGAATATGTGTAATTACTTGTCTTAGAATGCAAACCTCCTGAGGAAGGGAAACATATCTGTCTCATTATGATGAATCACTAGCTCATAGAACATTTTCTGGCATAGATTGAGGGCTAGATAATTTTTTGAGAAAAGGTCATGTGTGTGAATAATGCTGTGTAAATGTATTTCTAATTTTATTATCATTATTGTTATTATTATTGTTATTTATTTTTTCAGATGAAGTCTTGCTCTGTCGCCAGGCTGGAGTTCAGTGGTGTGATCTCAGCTCACTGCAATCTCTGCCTCCTGGGTTCAAGTGATTTCTCCTGCCTCAGCCTCCTGAGTAGCTGGGACTATAGGCACACCACCACACCCAGCTAAATTTTGTATTTTTAGTAGAGTTGGCGTTTTGCCATATTGGCCAGGATGTTCTCAATCTCTTGACCTCATGATCTGCCTGCCTTGACCTCCCAAAGTGCTGGGATTACAGGCGTGAGCCACCACGTCCGGCCTATTTTTATGATTTTTTTTGAGACACAGTCTGCTCTGTTGCTCAGGCTGGAGTGTAGTGGCGCGATCTTGGCTCACTGCGATCTTGGCCTCCTGGGTTCAAGCCATTCTCATGCCTCAGCCTCCTGAGTACCTGGGATTACAGGTGTGCCATTATACCCAGCTAGTTTTTGTATTTTTAGTAGAGGCAGGATTTTGCCACATTGCCCAGGCTGGTCTTGAACTCCTGACCTCAAGTGATCTGCCTGCCTCAGCCTCCCAAAGTGCTGGGATTACAGGCGTGAGCCACTGCGGCTGGCCTACACTGTGTAAATGTGTTTCTAAATCTCAGTTCTGCTACTTACTGGCTTTGTGTCCTTGAGAAAACATTTAACCTCTCTGTGCCTGTTTCTTCAATTCTTGCCCACCACTGAGCTATGGTGAGGGTTCAGCTAAATGACAGACTTGAGAGGATTCTCTGACGATGACATCACTGTGATGACATTGGCTTCCTGCCCAGAGGAACAGTCACACCCAGCCTTTGCCACTTCTGGGGAGGAGTGCACTGCACTCACCTTCAGCAGCTGGGGGCACCGGGTAGCATCACACAGCTTGGAGCTGCAGAGCATCTGCACTTCATAGGACTGGCCTGGGAGGGATTAAGGGGATGTGTGAGCCCCACTCTGAGGGGCAAAATGGCACCTGCCACTTCCAATCACCCTGGGCCCAGCTTCCGGAGCTCACTGGCCACTAGCTCCTTCCCTCCCCCAGGCCCAGCATACCCTGGTTCAGGTAGGTGAGGGTCTCCTCCTGCTGCTTCACGGCTGGTGAGGTGGCTGCACAGAGCACATACTGGAACATGGGGCAGGGCGGCTCCGTGCCAGGGCTGTTGGGCAGCTCCTCCTGCTTCAAGTAGGGCAAGAGCAGAGGCTCCCTGCCAGGGACAGGAGGGTTCTGCCAGCTTTCCGCCCTGTCCATCCCCTTTTCTAAGGGTCTTTGACTCTCTTTGCCAGGCCTTCCCTCTGAGGAGCCCACAGTTTCCTGTAGCAGGCCCCTAAGCTGCAGCCAGGGCTGAAGGGACCCCCATTCAGCACCCTGGATCTCCAGGAGAACTACCTGAAGGTGCTAGTCCCAGATTTGTAGCCGTTTTACTCAACAGCTGCCACTAATTACTTGTCTTTGCAACCTCAAGGTTTGCCTGATACTGAGTAAAATCCCAACAAAATGTCCTAAGTGGGATCAGGGTGTTTTTGAGATGTCCCAGGACGCACTGAACTCTGGGTACATCTGACCACTTCCCATCTCCAGAGGAGCTCAGGAGCAGAAGCCCCACTCTCCTCAGCTTGAAATTGACGAGGCCCGCCCCAACTTCAGACCAGCACCTTCCCTGGGACCTGGGGGATCCACCCCTTACCTGAGTAGGCTGCTGGGGGTGCAGGGTATAGATCCCCAGCACTGGGCCACAGGTGCTCTGGCTGGCTGTGCCAAAACAGCATCTTGGAGAGGGAGCAGAGCTGGCTGTGAAACAGCTCAGCGTAGGGTTGGGCTGCACCCCCGAGGCCCTGCTCCTGGGGCCTCCACTTTTATACACAGAAGCACACCTGCAAAAGGTTGGGAGGGGCCTGACCTCTTATGGCTCAGGGCTCTAGGACACTATGGACCTGTAGGGACAGCCCAGGTTGAGGGGAATCAAGAGCTGGGTCCCCAGGGCTCCCCAGCAATCATTAACTTGAAGGGGTGATGGGGATACAGCAAAACAAAGTGGCAGGATGGATGTCCACTCCCCTACTGTTTCCAAGAGGCCCAGGGGTAATGAGGGGCACTCTCAGGCTTCAAGATTGGCCCCAGATCCCTAAGCCATGCAGAGTCCTGGAGAACCCTGGGCTTGGTCCCTCCCCTGACCCCACGGGAAAAGCCTGTCCACTCTAGGGCACAGGACAGGCAGACACACAGCCTTGCAGGGACCCACAAATGGGCCTCTGATGCCCACTGCCCTCCCTCCTCTGCCTGACCACACACGCGCGCACACACCACAGGTGCGCGCGCGCACACACACACACACACACACACACACAGGCAGGACACATGTCCTTTAGCCGGGGGCTGCCTAGCTGGGCCTCTGGAATTTACAGAAAACAACCTAGTGTGTTGTGGAAACACTGAGGGGTGGTGCTTCCAGGAGAGGGAGGCTTGCGCACGGGAGCTCCAGTGGGGCTGGTTCCTTTGCCCCTTCCTTGCCCTGGGGCTTGGAGCAGGCTGTTTATGGACAAATACAGTCAGCCTGGGGGCGGGCCTCTTTCCCCACACGGAGCACCTGTTGTCACTGTATACAGACAGCCCCAGCCCCCTGCCCACCTCCTACTACTGTGTTTGGTATAAATAGACCTAGGGCAGAGAGCAGAGATGGGGTCCAAAAGTGTGGCTGACTCACGGGACTCTAGCTACCCAGGCTCCCAGATTCTGCAGGGCAGGCCTGGGGTGAGGGGTGGCGGCAGAGCCAAAGAGACGCCCCATGCCCTGCTCTGCCTCCTTCATCTCCAGGCACCTGGCACCAATGGGGAGGATGGGGGAGCCTGGAGGAATGGACGCATTCCTGCCACTGGGGCCAAAGAAGCAGCCGGACCCCCTGAGGTCCCCTCCATACATTGTCCCCAAGGCTGCAAGGACCCACCCCACGCCCCGAGCTGGATTCCACGCTGGGAAGCATCCTCAAGCCCTTGGGGAGGGCACAGCAGGATCCCAGGAGGAGGGGGAGAGGAGGGTAGGAGGGTTCCCTGTGGGGCTTGGTGCTGACCTGGGGGAGTTGTGCCATCTGAGCAGGGGTGGGAGGGGTGGGGCAGGGAAGGCCGAGCAGACCAGTGGGAGGCCCGCTCTAGTGGTGGAGGTTGAAAGGATAGAAGCTGGTGTGGGCAACCTTTGCCCTTTGGGGACACCACCCACCACCCGGGGTTGCCTCAGAGCGGGTCTCAACTCCAGAACCCGATCCCCAGCCTGCTCACCCTCCGTCTCTGAAGCAGTCTGCCCTCCCGGTTTTCCGGCTTCTCAGAGTCTCTGGGCTTCGCCCACATCCAGGTGTTGCTGGGCCTGCTCTAGCTTTCTTGGCTCTCTCTCTAAGGGGAAAAAGCTGGGGCTTGGAGCAGATGCAGCTGGGCCGGTCCCAGCCCCCATCCCAATCTTACGCTGTGCCCCCTGGACCAGGCACAGCACAGAGTCTGGACAATTTACCCTCAGGTTCAGAAGGGCCTAAGAAAACTTCGGGTCCAGCCTCCGACTCCGCACAGGAGTCTCAGGCCCTTGGAAGGTCTGAGGCCCAGGATGCAAAAGGCACTGCCAGACTGCTCTTCAAATTCTGAACCCATCTTTTTCTCCCTAAGATGGGGGCAAGGTCTTCTTCCCGTTCACCGTGGCGCTGAGGGTCACACAATGGTCTGCGGAGCTGCAGCTGCTTCAGCTCCTCAGGAGCTCCCAGGGTAGCAAGAAACGTCACCGATAACCCCAGGGTCCTAGCCAGAGGGGCACAGACATGACATCCCTGAAAACTCCCCACCACAGACCATCTCAGGACAATTTTGGGGGTGCACGTTTTTTGAGACAGGCTCTTGCTTTGTCACCCAGGATGGGGTTTTGTTGTACTCCCATCTCCCCTTCAAGTTAATGATTAACTTGATTCCCCCTTGATTAACTCTTGATTCCCCCAACCTGGGCTGCGCCCCAGGTCCAGAGGGTCCTAGAGCCCTAGGTGCTCAGCCAGTAATAGGCCCAGGCCCCGCCCACCCTTTTTCAGGTGTGCTTCTGTGTATAAAGGTGGACGCTCCGCGGTGGCTCACTCCTGTAATCCCAGCACTGTGGGAGGCCGAGGCGGGTGGATCACCTGAGGTCCGGAGTCCAAATCCAGCTGACCAACATGAAGAAACCTGGTCTCTACTAAAAATACAAAATTAGCCAGGTGTGGTGGCATATGCCTGTAATCCCAGCTACTCGGGAGGCTGAGGCAGGAGAATCGCTTGAACCCAGGAGGCGGAGGTTGCAGTGAGCCAAGATTGCACCACTGAACTCTAGCCTGGCGACAGAGTGAGGCTCCATCTCAAAAAATAAATAAATAAGGCCGGGCACTGTGGCTCAAGCCTGTAATCCCAGCACTTTGGGAGGCTGAGGCGGGTGGATCACAAGGTCGAGAGATCGAGACCATCCTGGTCAAGAAGGTGAAACCCCGTCTCTACTAAAAATACAAAAAATTAGCTGGGCATGGTGGCGCATGCCTGTAATCCCAGCTACTCAGGAGGCTGAGGCAGGAGAATTGCCTGAACCCAGGAGGCGGAGGTTGCGGTGAGCCGAGATTGCGCCATTGCACTCCAGCCTGGGTAACAAGAGCAAAACTCCGCCTCAAAAAATAAATAAATAAATAAATAAAAAGCACTCCAGCCTGGTGACAGAGACTCCATCTCAATAAAGAAAGAAAGAAAGGCCGGGCGCGGTGGCTCAAGCCTGTAATCCCAGCACTTTGGGAGGCCGAGGCGGGTGGATCACGAGGTCAAGAGATCGAGACCATCCTGGTCAACATGGTGAAACCCCGTCTCTACTAAAAACACAAAAAATTAGCTGGGCATGGTGGCGTGTGCCTGTAATCCCAGCTACTCAGGAGGCTGAGGCAGGAGAATTGCCTGAACCCGGGAGGCGGAGGTTGCGGTGAGCCGAGATCGCGCCATTGCACTCCAGCCTGGGTAACAAGAGCGAAACTCCGTCCCGAAAGAAAGGAGAGAAAGAAGGAAGGAAGGAAAGAGAGAGAGAGAGAAAGAAAAAAGAAAGAAAGAAAGAAAGAAAGAAAAGAAAAGAAAAGAGAAAATAAAAGAAAGGGCGGGCGCTGTGGCTCACGCCTGTAATCCTAGCACTTTGGGAGGCCAAGGTGGGTGGATCACATGAGGTCAGGAGTTCGAGACCAGCCCGGCCATGATGGAGAAACCCCATCTATAAATAAATAAAAAATAAAAATAAGAAAAAGAAAGGTGGAGGCCCTAGAAGGGGAGCCCAGTGGGTGCAGCCCAACCCCATGCTAAACTGTTTCACAGCCGGTCTTACTCTCTGTCCAAGATGCTGCTCCAGCCCAGAAGCCAGGTGAAGGGGTCCTTCCTCCCAGCTAAAAGTCCCTAGTGCCTCCAGGTGCACAGTTTACCGGACACCATCTGCCCCAAACAGCGCCCTCTGGAGTTAGACCGTGAGTAGGGCTGGCTTAAACCCTCAGAACTTTCCGGGGGAGTTCCTCTCTAGCACCCCCCTCAGTCTCTCCTGGGAAAGACTCTGCTCACATTTCAGACTTGCTGCCTGCTTCTTAACCCTTCCCACAGCCCCTCCCGCTGACGCTCACGTTCTCCACCGCCTGTCTCGGCTTCGCAGTGCTCTGCCAAAGTCCTTCAGGAAATTATCCAATGTGCAGTGAAGGTTTGTGCACTTTGTCTAATGTCTTTTTTCCCACCAGAGTGAAAGCTCCCTGAGGGCAGGGACTAAGAGGCGCACTAGTGTTGGGGTTAAGATCATGTTTCTTTTCTTTTTTTTTTTTTTTTGAGTTGGAGTATCGCTCTGTTGCCCAGGCTGGAATGCAGTGGCGCGATCTTGGCTCACTGCAACCTCCGCTTCCTGGGTTCAAGATATTCTTGTGCCTCAGCCTCCTGAGTAGCTGGGATTACAGGCATGTGCCACTACGCCAGGCTAATTTTTGTATTTTTAGTAGAGACGGGGTTTCATCATATTAGCCAGGCTGGTCTTGAACTCCTGACCTTGTGATCCACTTGCCTCTGCCTCCCAAAGTGCTGAGATTACAGGTGTGAACCACTGAGCCTTTTTTTTTTTTTTTTGAGATTGTTTTGAGATGGAGTCTTACTCTGTTGCACAGGCTGGAATGCAGCGGCATGATCTCAAGTTCAAGTGATTCTCCTTCCTCAGCCTTCTGAGTAGCTGGGATTATAAGCACCTGCCACCATGCCCGCCTAATTTTTGTATTTTTAGTAGAGACAGGGGTTTCTCCATGTTGGCCAGGCTGGTCTCGAACTCGTGACCACAGATGATCCACCGGCCTTGGCCTTGGGATTACAGGCGTGAGCCACCACGCCTGGCCCTCTGACTTCAGAGTGCTTTTCAAACTTTCTTACATAGTAGATACTATTTTTTTTCTGTTACTCTATTATTGCTCCCCATTCTATAGATGGGGAAACTGAGACAGAGAGGTTAAATAGCCCAGGGTCACAAAACTAGGAGGAAACAGAGCCAGGACTTGAACTCAAGCCATCTGTCACTGTCCCTGCTCTTAATCATTGTTCTATGCCCCACTCTTCAGGATACATATGTGTGGGCTTTTATTTTTCTTTGAGACAGGGTCTCACTTTGTCTCCCAGGTTGGAGTGCAATGGTGTGATCATGGCTCACTGCAGCCTTGACCTCCCACACTCAAGCAGTCCTCCTACCTCAGATTCCCAAGTAGCTGGGACTATGTGCTAAAGCCACCATGCCTAGCTAATTAGAAAATTTTTTGGGCCGGGCGCGGTGGCTCAAGCCTGTAATCCCAGCACTTTGGGAGGCCGAGGCGGGCGGATCACAAGGTCAAGAGATCAAGACCATCCTGGTCAACATGGTGAAACCCCGTCTCTACTAAAGCTACAAAAAATTAGCTGGGCATGGTGGCGTGTGCCTGTAATCCCAGCTACTCAGGAGGCTGAGGCAGGAGAATTGCCTGAACCCAGGAGGCGGAGGTTGCGGTGAGCCGAGATCGCGCCATTGCACTCCAGCCTGGGTAACAAGAGCGAAACTCCGTCTCAAAAAAAAAAAAAAAAAAAAAAGAAAATTTTTTGTAGAGATGGGGTCTCACCGTGTTGCCCGATCTGGTCTCAAACTCCGTGTCTCAGGAGATCCTCCTACGTCGGCCTCCCAAATTGCTAGCATGACAGGCGTGAGCCAGCACACCCAGCCTTTTAAAAACAAATCTTGGGCCAGGCGAGGTGGTTCTTCCTGTC